AAAAACTTGAAGCTGCAGCAAGAGCAATATCTGATGCTGAAGCTAGAGAGAAAGCCAAGGCAGCTAAGCGTAAAAGGAAATCGGACTTGGAGTCTGATAGTGCCAGTGACACTGATAGTGGATATGAAGGAAAAAAATCCACCAAAAAGCACAAGAAGCATAGGAAGCACCATAGCTCTGAGTTGGGTGATTCGGATAGGAAGGAAAAGAAATCTAAGCGAAAGCCTAAGAGAAGATCCTCCAATTCGAGTGATGATAGCAGTGAGGAATATGATGGTGATTCAGAAGAAGAGAGAAGAAGAAAGAAGCGGGGTCACAAGAAGCGCAGGCATCATGATCGACACTCAGATTATAGTTCCTCAGATGATGAAGATGTGAGAAGAAGACGCCATTCAAAGCATCACAAACGTCACGGGCGATCACACTCAGAAGGTTCAGAGTCTTCAAGTGATGGTGATCATGTTGCAGTTAGGAAACGAAGCCACACAAAGCATCATAAACGTCACGGGAGTTTGGACTCAGATGCTTCTGTCTCTTCTAGCGATGAAGAAAAACTGAACCGCAGTAATCACGGAAAACATAGGAAATGTGATTACAGGTCCCGTAGTCATGATTCAAGGTCCTCAGATTCTGATGCTTTTAGGCGTGATAGAAGTAGATCCTTAGGTAAATCTTCTGATGAGAATGAGGAACTAGATAGAAAAGAAAAGCACAGGAAGAATCATCATCGACATGGCCATCACCGTCATCACCGTTCCAACCATAACCATCACCACTCAGATGAAGTGTCCAAGGACAAGCATCAACCCCACGGCGAGAAAGAGAAAAATGATGAGCCAGTGGAACGTGGTTCTGAGGTGCACAAGGAAAGTGATGTCAGTGGTCCTCATGTTATTCAGAATGCTTAGATGTTATGACTGCTTGCACCCAATTCATGTTGTTTTTCATTTAACTTCATTCTGTGGAGACCCTAAACTGCCATTGCGAATTACAGTTGTGTTTCGATTGGAGGCCTAAAGCCCAAATTTCATTAATACTGTTGAATCTTTCTACAGACCAGCACATTTATGCTACTAGTGATTCTGCTATTGATTAACAGAGTAACATCTTGTGGCGAGATATTCCCTTTTGATTGTCAGTTGCATGTAATTATCAATTTTGCTGTGATTATGCTAGGGTGCTTACTGTAGCTTTAATCAGTATGCTAATCAAATCACATCACAGGATATGGCAGGTGGAATGAGGCAGTGTTGCTTGTGGTTGGTAAGTTACAATCTAAGATATCGTTATGTCATGAGCGGAGCGGCTTGCTATGCTATTAGTAGTGCCTCTCTTTAGTACTATTGAGCAGAAGTAAATTATTCTCTTTTTATTTATTTTATGCAAATTAGCTCTGAACCGAGTCACTGTTGGGATTGGTATTATTGAGATAATCTATCAGGACAACTTTGAGAAATATATTTTTAGCCTGTACCAAAATAATAGCCGATTAAATATATAGTATACATATAGTATTCATATTTTATACACTTTTGGCTAGCAAATACAATTAGTTTCGGCCAATTTTATATTTGCTGTGATTTTCTCATTCAGCCCAATCCCATTAAATATCGACAGTTCTATAAATTTGTGAACTCTCATGATTTCATAAAATCATATTGCACCAGAAATGGTCAAAAATTTCTTGTCAATAACTCAATACAGCAACTTGATGCCTTGTGTCTTGTATATGACAAAAAGAAGGCGATTGGTTACAGGTCCAGAGGCGCTAATTACCAGCCTGCCTGCTCAATAAAACAGAAAGGTGATATTGTAAATTCGGAAAAGGTCTAAAAATGCCACTCAACTAACATAAATGGCCTATCTATGTCATCCGTTAAAGGTCACCCTATTCATGCCACTAACGTTATACTTTTGGCTTATTTATGCCACTAAACGTTATACTTTTGTCCTATTTATGCCATTGTCGACTAACAGTTCCATTTTTTGATTTTTAAATAATAAGAATTAATAATTCGACTCCACCTTTGCCGCGTGTCTTTATATTACTGGTTCTTCTTTACTTGACCCTACATTTCTTTTAACCCTGATTATGTATAATTAACCATGCCCAACCCGATAAAATCCAACCATCTTTTAACCTAACTCCTAATTCGTTGTCACGACCCAAATCCAACTAGTCGTGATGGCACCTAACCCAATCCGCTAGGTAAGCCAATTAACAACTATCTAATTTAATGAGATAACAAATAAATGATAAAATAATTAAATTGAAATTATGAGCTTCTAAGATTTAGATTTTTACAAATTGAATTGAAATAAACACAACATCGGTTTCAAATAAATACAAATCACTGATGTTCAGGTCCAGAGGCGCTAATTACTAGCCTCCCTGCTCAATAAAACAGAAAGGTGATATTGTAACTTTGACTGGACTTGAAAATTTTGTTCCTCTGTTTAAATAGTTTTGTTTTATCTGGTGGAGATCCTGACTTTGGCCTATAGTTAATATACATTCTCTATTGCTGCAGTTCTTGAACAAGGATGAGTATTTGAAAGGTATTGATGTTTATGAGTCAATAATCAAAATGTATGCATCTTATATTGAGAGAGATGAGGCTTCAAGGGAAGAATTGTGAGCAAGTTCCATTGAAGAAACCTTGAGCTTCTTCTGTCTTGGAAGACAGGGACGTCCCTCCAACATCTTTCTACTGTAGGAATAAATAACATGGATATTTCACAATCTAAGATGATCAATGTGTAAAAGTCTTTCATGCACAAGCAACAACAACAACAACAACGACCCAGTATAATCTCACAGGTGGGGTCTGTGGAGGGTAATATGTACGCAGACCTTACCCCTACCTCGAAGGGTAGAGAGGCTATTTCCAGGAGACCCTCGGCTCAAAAAAGCAACAGGAGCCGATATATTAGTACCATAAAAAATGCATAATACAATAACAACAATATAAGAGATATGAAAGAGTGGAATTTTGTGTGGCTATTTATTGTCATTTTGTGTGGAATTCAAATGCACAAGGAAGAGTACAGACCAGGAACCTTTCAACTTCCTTATAGATTCCACTAGTGATGATTGAACCCCCTTCGTAGAGATCCTGCCTCCGCCACTGATGACGCCTTGTTGAATCTAAGACCCCTGCATTAAGACTAGTTCACACAAGAGAGATTTTCCTGAAATTTGAGGTCTCTGATTAAGGGTAGATGAATCCATTCATCCACCACACCTCTTACTAGTGGTGACTCCTAGATTACTACTCCCTCCGTTTCAAAGATAGTGTCTTAGTTTGACCTGACACAAATTTTAATAAAAAAGTGAATTTTTTTTGAGATATGTGATCTTAAATAAGCCATAAAATTTGTGTGGTTGTAAAATTTGGGTGGCTATAAATGTTTCTTATTAAGGAAATATTGAAAGGTATCGATTTTTTTGAAATAGACTAATAAAGAAATAGTGCCAATTTTTTTAAAATTACGGGAGTAATTACTAGGTAATAGTCATTATTTTTGCAAGAGGTCTTGGCAAGAACAGATGCATCACTTCAGGGGACTCATGAGGAAACTAATATCATCCTCTGCTTCTGCAGAAAAGCTGAAGAAAGAGCAGTATTTGAAGAATGGAAGTGCAGTGCTCGAGGAGTTTATTGCTTTATGCGATGGAAAATGCCAAATTCCCCTACGTTACTCCAGTGCCATAGAGATCGAAAGGGCAACAAAACACTCCCAAAATACCACGGAGATCTTCAACAGCCATATAGTTATGGCCTCACTGGACAAACGTCTTGTTTTAATGAGGTTCGTCTCACCTAATTATTTTGAAAATCTCAATAATATATGTCGATATATAGCAATTACTTCTCAGATGAGTCATCTCAAGAGTGTGCTAAAACTTGTTGGTTGCTGCCTAGAGCTTCCGGAACCAGTTCTTGTGTATGAATATGTTGATGCTATATCTCTTAGAGATTTACTTTTCAAGAAGTGTAATGCTAAAAAAATCAGTTTCTTGGGAACGTAGATTGCGTATTGCCAATGAGGTTTCTTCAGCAATTGTTTATCTCCATAACGAATTTACTATGGCAACTNAGGAGGCGCATAGCTCACCTTTTTTCCTGCACCCAGGGAGCACGAAGATGTACAGGACGATCCGCCCACACTATTGGTGGAAAGGTATGAAGAGGGATGTCGCTGAGTATGTGGCTAAATGCTTAGTGTGCCAGCTGGTTAAGGCTGAGCACCAGAGACCAGCAGGACCCTTACAGCCAGTTCAGATACCACAGTGGAAGTGGGACGAGATAGCCATGGACTTTGTCTCTGGATTGCCGAAGACTGCGAGGCAACATGACGCCATTTGGGTGATTATTGATCGGCTGACCAAGTCAGCTCACTTCCTGCCGATCAGTATGACTTATCCAGGAGAATTGGAAGTAGAAAATGTTGTCCGCAGATAATTCTAGTATGTAGATCCTGAATATGTTGTCTCGGGAATTGTTACTCAAAAGATTGACGTCTACAGCTTCGGAGTTCTTCTCTTCCAGATATTAACTAGAAAGAAAGTAAGTATGGTTGATGGCAAGATGAAAGATTACGAACAATAGCCCAACAAATGCATCGAATCCAATATTGAAGAGTGTAATGTAATGGATATAGCGGATCCTGCCATTTTGGCCGAAGAGCGTGGAACAGATATTCAACAACAATTGGATGACTACTTAGATCTTGTTAAGAGATGCACACTCTCGAAGGGTGAAGATAGACCATACATGATTCATGTTGCAAAGGAGTTACGTCGAATTGAGAAGTGTTTTCGTGCCCTCAATCAAAATCTGTATTAGATGTGTGTTTTACAATGTTGTCAACAACTCCATTTGTTGAGCTGTGTTTCCTTCTCATATTGGCAATGCTTAGGCAAACTTCAATCAGACAAGACAATAAAATAAGTTTCATAGTAATTATCACACTCATAATTGCATAACTTAAGGAAGTGATTGAAGTTGTGCCTTTCAAGTATTAGTCACAAATTCACAATTACAATTACATGAGTGAAGTGCAATTGAGTTTTAGAGTACTATTTTCTAATTCAAACCTTGAGTGAGGGCACGAAAACACTTCTCAATTCGACGTAATTCCTTTGCAACATCAATCATGTATGGTCTATCGTCACCCTTCGAGAGTGTGCATCTCTTAACAAGATCTAAGTAGTCATCCAATTGTTGTTGAATATCTGTTCCACGCTCTTCGGCCAAAATGGCAGGATCCGCTATATCCATTACATTACACTCTTCAATATTGGACACATTGTCTAAGTCTCTCATCTCGCCATTAACAATAAGCGCTCTCTTTCCGGTCAATAGTTGAAAGAGAATAACTCCAAAACCGAAGACGTCAGTTTTTTGAGTGACAATACCCGAGCAGGCATATTCTGGATCTGAATAACCACATGTTCCGCGCACACCTTGAGCATCTACTTCCAACTCTCCTGGAGGCAATGCTATGGACAATGAAAAGTCAAATAGTTTGGCAACTCCACTGCTCTGATCTATTAACACCTTTTGTGAGTGCAGGTCTACATAAATAATGGGCGTAGTAAATTCACTATGGAGATAAAGAATTGCTGAAGCAATCGCATTGGCAATCCGCAATCTACTTTCCCAAGATAATGAATTTCTAGCATGATTATAATAATAACCCTTATGAAAAAGTAAATCATCAAGAGTTATAGCCTCAACATATTCATACACTAGAACAGGTTCTGCATATTCTAGGCAACAACCAATAAGTTTAAGCACGTTCTTAAGATGACTCATCTGAGAAGTAATTGCTATATCGTGACATATATCGTTGGACTTTGCAACGAAAGTAGTGTACGCGAAGCTAACCAAAACAATGCTTTTGTCTAGTAAGCCTTTTACCATATGTCTTTGGCAGGTGTATAATGATTTTTCTGAATGTTTGATTGCCCTCTCGATTTCTATGGCGCTGAAGTAACGAAGGGGAATTCGGCTTTTTCCATCGCATAAAGCAATAAGCTCCTCTAGCACTGCACTTCCATTCTTCAAATAGTACTGCTCTTTCTTCAGCCTTTTTTCAGAGGCAAAGGATGAAATTAGTTTGCTTATGAGTCCCCTAAAATGATGCATTTGTTCTTGCCAAATAAATTCCACAGAAAATGACTATAAATAGCATTAGACGGCTATCGATTTGACTCTCTTATGAATTACTTGGTAGTTTCGTTGCTTTTGTTTTGTGTCTTTTGAATTTCCAGACACTTTCATTCCCATTGTTCATCTGCTTCTTGTGGGGAATTTAACTTGATTATTCTTTGTTAAATTTGGTTGACTTGATATGACTTGGCTGTTTTACACCATTTTCAGCCACTAACTTTTTTCTTTCTGGCCCACGTTTCAAGTTATTAAATTGAGAAGGTGGGTTGCTTTGGGCACCCGCCACTACTATACACTATCCTCCCCATATCCCACTAGTGAGATTATACTGTATTTTGTTAGGGGTGGGCATTCAGTATTCGGTACGGTATTTAAAAATTTCGGTTCGGTATTTCGATATTCGGTTTATCAGTCATGTATACCAAATACCGTACCCAAATATTTCGGTACGATTCGGTATTCCTTATTTTGGTTCGGTACGGTTTCGATATGGTTTCAGTTTAATACATAATCACGTCATGTACTGCTAAGTGCTAAGAGCCTAAGCACTAAGCAAAAGGCACCAACACTAAATAATCTGTCATTCTGCCTAACAAAAGGCAGCAACACTAAATAATCAAATCTGCCTAACAAAAGGCGTGTAAGAAACATTTAAATCTGCCTAACATGTAGCAACACATACATGGAAGATGCACACCTGATTATCACATACACAACAAGTACTTGAAGGGCAAAAGAAGTAAATAAATATCACAGTAAGCTAAGATAGTAACAACCACTAATGAGTAGCAGTAGAATTAAACACCGAGCAACAAAAACAGAGAGATCATCCCTCAATTCAAATTTACACTAATAGTCTCGAATCAACTTAGTCTTAATTCTTAAATACGAATTTCAAGAAGACGCTTAAGACAATGCCTAATATGCTTCCTTAAACAATATGTGCCATCCTTTTTGGATGAACATTATAGACTCGATCACAATGCTTGCACTCTACTTTGTGAACTTCTCCATTATCTTCTATCACCTTAAAGTGTTCCCAAATATGAGGGCATACTTTAGGAGCACAGGCATGATTGCACTTGAACCTAAAAAAAAGAAGATAAATCATATGTCCATTCAGATATAGCGGGCCGTGAAAACAAACACTTACTTGTAAATTGGAAGGATCTTGTCCAAAAGGACAACAGGGGGAAAGATTTCTCAACTTCCTTAGCAGGTTTGGAAAGCAACAAGTATGAAACTGGACCAACAAGTACTGGAACAGTATCTACTCCAAGTTGCGTGAGTAACAAGATCAAGATCAATAAATCAATCATCTAATCTTTTATTACCATGCATAAGCATAAATAGATTTAACAAGATAATGTAAATGCTATAACTAAATTTGCTGAAAACATAAAAGAAATGAACAATAGTCTTTCTAGACCACAAATACGAACTTTTATCTACTCTTTTTAGAAAATTACATAAAGCAAAAAAGTGAAGTCAGTGACGATGAACGATCATATCAATTAAATATATTCCCCTTCCAATAGTTCAAGAATCAGACATGTATTGTGAAGTGAAAAGTATACATAAGAAAAGAATCGCATACCCCTCTTAGCCTCTTTGTACTCATCTATTGCCTTGTCAGAAGCATAAGAAAATTTAACATCAGGTCCCAACTCAGGGACAATGAACTGATGAAGTGGTTGGATCAAACAATGAAAAACCATAAATCAGCACACGAACAAGATAATCATATATCCGATGAAAAGAAAAGGTTGATGTGTCACTTAATAGTTGGTGTCAAACCACTTTGTCATCTCCATAGCAGGGACAAAGGCATTTCCTCGGGCCATAGACAAGTATGTTTCGAACCCGATCTCACATCGGTCCAGTTCTCACTTCTCTGAGTTCTCTCTCACAGTCAGCGTAGCCGATCTCTATTCTCTTAGGTTAGGTTTCTCCGTTTCTGTTTCTCCCTTCTAATTCCCTAATCCCTAATTCGCTTGTAGTGAAAGACTAAAGAGGTTTCTGTTGGGCCTTATTGGGTTGGGTTGGGCTGGCCGGCTGGGGCGCTAGGTACTAGAGCAGTGTAGAAAATTAGAATGGGAAAATTTTAAAAATAGTCAGACAACTGGTCATTCAAAAATAGCCCAGTTTCAAAAGTAATCGAAATTTAGCCACTTTTCATGTAAAGATAAATCTGAGCGAAAACACTATTCAAAACCCAGAAAATACGTCCGTATATTATACTGGAGTTCCAGCATAGGTATGGTTGAACTCCAGCATATTATACGGGAGTTCCAGATAACTATGCTGGAACTCCCGCATAATATGTTGGAGTTCCAGCATAAGTACACTAGAACTCCAGCATAATGTACTGGAGTTCCAGCAAGTATAAATGTCCAGTATAATATACTCGAGTTTGGAGCGCCGGTGCTCCAGTCTCCCGTATATTATACAGGAGTCAGCTACCGGTCCAGCATAATATGCTGGAGTTCGTACACTGATGTACCGAACTCCCGTATATTATGCGGGACCGGTCTCTGTTGCAACAAAATAATGGCTATTTTTCATTGACTTCGTAAATGGTGGCTATTTTTGAATGACCAGTCCGAAAACTAGCTATACCGTGCTATTTTAACGAATTAGATGTACAACATATTGGGTTGGGTTGGGTTGGGCAGTATAGGTCCAACATAAAATTCTTTACAAATTCGGTATTTCGGTATACCGAAATTTCAAGATCCTAGTAACCGAGGACCGTACCGTAATACCGAAATACCGAAAATGTTATACCGAATTAGACCGAAATACCGAAAATGTTATACCGAATTAGACCGAAATACCGAAATCGAAATACCGAATTAATTCGGTTCGGATCGGAATTCGGTTTTTCGGATTTTATACCCACCCCTAGTTGTTGCTGTTGTTGTTTCAAGTTATTAAATTTCCAGGTCATGATATCAACTATACTCCTTGTTCTAAATTCAATATTTTACATGTAGCTTTTTTTTGTTGGTGTAATTAAAAAGCTAAAAAAATTTGAAATCTTTCATAAGCTACATAGCTTAAGTCCACCACGATTAAGAACTTCATTTTCTCGAGTATTTTTCCAAATTAATAATCTTCTTCCTTACTATTGGACTCAGATGCTTCTGTCTCTTCTAGCGATGAAGAAAAACTGGACCGCATTAATCACGGAAAACATAGGAAATGTGATTACAGGTCCCATAGTCATGATTCAAGGTCTTCAGATTCTGATGCTTTTAGGTGTGATAGAAGTAGATTCTTAAGTAAATCTACTGATGAGAATGAGGAACTAGATAGAAAAGAAAAGCACAGGAAGAATCATCATCGACCTGGCCATCACCGCCATTAGAAGGGGTAAATAGGCGGGTTGAGCTGAATTTGGGCGGATCAAGATGGGTTAGGTCAATAAATGGGTCATTGTCCAACCCAGTCCAAAGTATACTTGGGCTAAGATGGACTGGGTCAAGATGGGCTAAACAATGGGTTATAACCCAACCCGCCCAACTTGACTATGTTTTAGAACTATGCTCAAAGCAAAAAAAAAATATAAAGTTAAAAATACAAACAAACAATTTTTTTTTGAGAGGGGTATGGGTAG